AATAATAACTAATGTAGGCGACGTAGTGGTGCAGTAGGTAGTGCTGTCGCCTCACAGCAAGAAGATCGCTGGGTCGAACCTCGGCTCAGATGGCGTTTCTTTGAGGAGTTTGCATGTTCTCCTTGCGCTCGCGTGGGTTTCCTAGGGTGCTCCGGTTTCCCTCACAGTCCAAAGACATGCGGTACAGGTGAATTGGGTAGGCTAAATTGTCCATAGTGTATGAGTGTGAGTGTGAATGAGTGTGTGTGGATGTTTCCCAGAGATGGGTTGCGGCTGGAAGGGCATCCGCTGCGTAAAAACCTGCTGGATAAGTTGACGGTTCATTCTGCTGTGGCGACCCTTGATTAATAAAGGGACTAAGCCGACAAGAATATGAATGAATGAATAATTAATATATTTTTTTGTTTGTTTTTCTTTTCTTTTTTATACATTTCCCAAACGATGTTTAACCGAGCAAGGAACTTTTCACAGTATTTCCTACAATTTTTTTTTTCTTTTGGAGAAAGTCTGATCTCTTTTTTTAAGCTAAAATAACCATTTCAAGGTCAATATTATTAGCCCCCTTAAGCAATTATTTTTTCTTTCAATTTTCTACAGTACAAACCATCATTATACAATGATGACTTGCCTAATTACTGGGGCTGTACATTCATTCATTCATTTTCTTTTCAGCTTAGTCCCTTTATTAATCTGGGGTCACTACAGCGGAATGAACCACCAACTTATCCAGCATATGTTTTACACAGCGGATGCCCTTCTAGCTGCAACCCTTCACTGGGAAACACCCATACACTTTCATTCACAATCATACACTACAAACAATTTTTACCCAATTCACCTGTACCGCATGTCTTTGGACTTGTGGTGGAAACTAGAGCATTCAAAGAAAACCCACGTGAACATGGGAAGAACATGCAAACTTCACACAGAAATGCCAACTGACCCAGCCGAGGCTCGAACCAGCAACCGTCTTGCTATAAGGTGAACGTGCTACCAACTGTGCCACCCCTAACCTCCAACAGTAAACTGAAGACCAATCTATTTCTGATTTACTCTGAGTGACTGCGTTACTACTGACAGAAAAGGGAGATGGATTGCCACCGTGACACCATCTTGAAAAATATCAAGTAAAACATGATGCACTGTCATCATGGCAAAGATAAAATAAATCAGTCATTAGAAATGAATCATTAAAACTATTATGTGTTGAAAGAATCTTTTTTCAAAGCCTTTTTTGCAGATCAGGTCAATACTGTGATAATACCGGAAGACAATTGATGACAAGTCTAATATCGACTGGCTGTATGTGTGAAGTTATAACTAAATATGGGAATCTAATGACAAAGGATTTGTTTTTGGCTTAATCATGAATGAGATCTTGAGAAACACCCCCAGCTATCAGGAGAACTTTGTGCCAGCAGCAAGACCAGACTGGAACATGATTGCATAATTCATAACGCTGCTATTCCATGCAATCTGCTATTATAGTATAATAAAGCACTGAATTAAAAGAGTGATCTGGAAGTATGCATTTCTCTACGGTGACCCCTGGTGCTTCTTGTGTCCTGCACCTGCTGTTTTGGTTGCCATGGCAGCCATTCATAAAGAACACTTGCTATAGTGAGAACAGCTGACTTCAGCTGCCGACCAGCTAAGTGGCCAGCATGACAGAGCCTCAGATGGAAAATATTTACTTCAATAATTCACAATAATGTTAAAATTGTGCAGTAGCGCAATACGGTCTTTGTACGCACCGCCAGAGGGTGTTGTCAACATAACCATTGTTCTAAGGACATGTCCATTTCTTATTCATAGCATAGGAAAGGGAAGCCCTACTCGTTACCAGAATAGTTTCAAAGAGAGAAACAAAATCAACTATTATTTTATGCCATATTATGCCCATTTTATGGCCTCTGACATCCTAGATACATGAAAAAGACATAGATGCACATATTGATGGCAAGCTGAATAAAAAATAAATAAATAAATACTGGTCATTTTTAAACGTTTTACATTACACTAAAACACAACAAATGAATAAAATGGATATTTAAAGTAGGACAGGCAAAACACCAATAAAACATTTTCACTTATTTTCCTTCAGGGTCGCCACAGCAGAATGAACCACCAATTTATCCAGCATATGTTTTACACTGTGGATGCCCTTTCAGCTGCAATTCAGTACTGAGAAACACCTATACACACTCATTCCCACACATACTGTACACTACGGCCAATTTAGGTTATTCAATTCACCTATAGCGCATGTCTTTGGACTAGGCATAGGACAATAACTGTTTTCAAGGTATACCGCAGTTTGAAAAGTCAAGGTTTGAAAACCACAAGAACTTTGTGCTATATCGTTCCTAAGATATATGTAAGTATTTAACTTTTTTTTGTTTGTTTATTAGGACAATAATATCTTCAGCAGAATAGATATCCAAAGATGCCAAAGATGTTTTTGAAACTACTGAAGACAGCAGAAGTCAATGACTCATTTGAATTATTTAGCCTGTTTACTGTTCCAAAATATTTTAAATGTTTCTCAAAATATTTATATATTAACTGTGTCTAAAGTCGCCTACTACTCAGTAGCTATTGCATTTGAATTTACTACTTGACTGATAGAGAAGTATGTTCCATACAGTGTGAATATGAGTAGTATAAAGGCTCGCCCTTCACAATATCACCAGAAGTAGTAGGTCATCCGGGTACTTCTCGCATAATGTTTTTTTAATTCTATAAATTCTGGACTTACTACTCAGCTCGCATACTGATTTTAGCATACTATATAGCAGTGGTGCTCAACCCTGTTCCTGGAGATCGACCTTCCTGCACCATTCATCTCCAACCCTGATCAAACACACCTGAACCAATTAAAACCTGAACAGTACTTGATAATTACAGGCAGGTGTGTTTGATATGGGCTGCAACTGAAATCTGCAGGAAGGTAGATCTCCAGGAAAGCGAAAAAAAAATCTTGTTTTTTTTACCCAGACATTTTAAAAGAATATTTTTTAGAGCAGTAATCACCATACCATGAAACCGTGATATTTTTATCCAAGGTTATCATACCATCAGAATCTTATTTCAGCCCATGCCTACTTTGAACTTTGGGCAAAACTGAAGCACCCAGAGGAAACTCACGCCAATGTAATGCCAATGAAACAATCAATTTGTGCAAGAGGCCAAACAATACTTTGAACAATACTACTAGAACTGCCTCAACAAACAAGACTTTTAATAAAGACATTAGCTCAAGTTTTCTATATACATGGTAACTCTCACTTTAGCAGATGACATTTTTGTTTGCTTTTCGTAATACAGTATAGGTATCATTATAAGGTACTATTTTGATGAACAATGCAAAGCGTGTTCTCCCTAGCCACTGTAAACAAAACATAAGCTCATCATGTGAGAGACTGTGTCCACAAGTAAGACCATCATAAGATCTCACCGTATCCCCAAGAGCTACCCAGCTAACACAGAACATTCCCTTAACATGGTTTTGTTATTATGAGAAATCAAAAAAAAAAAAAAAAAAAAAAAAAAACATTCTGGGGAAATTCTCTGTAGTTTTTATCTGTTATAATACTTGATTTAATACTTTTGTAAACCACAAATTAACGTTCCCAGAAAGTCACATCATCAATATTGTTTTTGTAACAACTTAACATAAACAGGAAGCTGTAACTTATTTTTTTTCCCTAAAGAAACAGAATATTAAATGAGAAAACAGTGGTTGTGGCTTGTTTTTATACTGTGAGCTGAATGGATGTAGTAAAGTACACATTTCATTCAGAAATATCGGGGAAAGTGTTTGGGCAGAGTTATTACAACTTAACAGACACCTCCTCCTCACCATGTTTGTTGTCAAAATTGTCAATTGGAGCAACATTAATAAATATGTTAGTTAAATTAATATGATTTCTAGGGGAATTTAAATTAAAATGTTTGTTTGTTTTTTACATAAAGAAGATTTTTCTGGCTGAACAAAACAACATTCTGGAAAACAAACATTGAAGTAGCTAATTAAAGTGTTTTGACTCTCCAAAACAATTTACCCTGTATTTCTTTTAACACAATCTATTGAACTCAATTTTACACACTTTTATTGCGTATGTTTATTTAACAACACCCAGATCAGCTTGCATTATTCTTCTATTGAGCTGACAAAAACAAAGTAATAAAACTGGTGATAAAACAATTATTAAACTGTAAACAGATAATTCCCCATTCAATGAGTCAATTTCTGACAGATTTTTTTTTTTAATTTATGACAAAGATCTGCTTAGAACTCTTGACCAAACGTCAAACTAAATGAACAACATGCCCCAAGTTCAACTTAAAAGAGCAATTCGTTGGCGAATTAGTCATCATAGCTAAAAAAAAAAAAAGAGATTAAGTAAAATGTCAGCATAAGTAATACGTAATTTATATACAAGACAAGTACTTTAAATGTATTTAAGTTAAAACTTTAAAGAGCATTATTTTCTATTTATTTAAGTCAAATTCACAAAGCAGACCTCGTAAACCATATTGCATTGAAGAGAATATATACGAGGAATAACAGCACTGAACAGGAAGAAGCATGACATTACTGACTCATGCAGGTAAACACTGACTACAACTCCACAGTATGACAATAAACAGCATCAAATTGACAAGCTATATGATAAACTGATAAGCTTAGCTAAAATAAAACCAGTCCCTGTCATCACAACAGCGAGTCGCTTAAGAACAGCATGCTGATAAATAAAATATTGAGCGAGCGTCAAATGTTTTCACTGCGTCGTGCACGCGCAACCTTCCCAAAAAAAAAAAAAAAGAATAACCAAAGGCGCACTTCCTGAAACTGTTTCGGCACAAAAGGACAAGGAATTGCGGTGAATACACTTGCCCTATAAATAAATAAAGGATGAGACATGAAATAATTGACAGCGGCAAGTTTAAACTCCAAAGCCAACAGGTGTCGAGCGGCTCGCGCGTTCGTGACTCACCTTAGTGTAATATAACATCCAGAGCTCGTACAGACGCTCTTTCGAAGCCATTCTCCCTCGCCCTTCTGCGGTTTCCTCCACTCGGGCGTCAGTCAAACAACCATATACATCCACAAACCAAGTGATCGTGGACTGAATCGGCGAAAATACAGGGAATGTTGTTTGCTAGAAACGGCATGCTGTTGCTGTACAGCTGTCCACTACCTGGTTGCCAAGCTCTTCCAAAGTTGCATGTCTTTCAGATGGAGGGGACGTCAAAACAGAGCAAAGAAACTAGAGAATGTAGAGAGAAACATGTAGAAATATTGACGATCGGGCGCTGGATGTGCGTGCATCTCTGCTGGAGGAATTCAATGGGAGTTTTAGACGCACTTGTCTGTGCACGCATAACCCTTCGCTCTCTCTCTCCACTCCTCCTCTGAGCACTAATACAGTGGCAGTAGAGAGCAAAGCGAGGAATAGCCGGGAGGAGTTCAGGCTCAAGAGCTGCACACATAAAGAAAAGCCTCTGAAAATCACTATCTGTCGCCGATGATTGGGACGATTACACATTGGGGCACAGGGATCCTCTTGTTGGACTGAGATGATTATGTACATATTTTTAAACATGTTATTTAGGCTATTTTATGTATTAACAAACATGTAGCCATACCCAAAACTAAACAAAAGCAACAGCTCGCAATTTAACTTTACTTTGGACTTGAATGCAGAATTAAAAGGTTATTGCACCCAAAAATGAAAATTATGTTATCAATTACACTGTAAAAGTGTCTGCTAAATAAAAGGTTCTGTATGTTGTGATTTACCGTTCAGTTATTTTTCAGTTTATTTCAGCTATGAATTGCATAATAATAATAATAATAGGACATTGATTTCTGCTCTGTTGCCTTTTGATGTTGAAAAATTAACTGTGCAGTTTAACAAATTGACTTTTATTGACCCTTTAGTATTTTTAAACAATTGATAATATAAGAAATAATACATAGAGAGAGGATTAAGTCTGTAAAATAGAATAAAATCTACAGGCAGATTATTACCATCTTTTATGCTGTAATTTACAACACCAATGCAGACAATAATTTACAACAAACTAATTGTATTTTCAATCCTTTACACCCTGCTGAGAAGATCAAGATTCCATAATGCAATTAAAGAGCATAAATAAAATAGGGGGATTGGCCATGAAGCACAAAATACAGAAAGTTGTAATTTATGATTTTATTTATAATATAATATATATAATATAATATCTCTTCCTTAATTTTTCATAATACCAATGAAGATATTTTGTATGAAATCTGAGAGGTCCCTTTGTTGTATACCATGCTACAATAAATATCTGGTCTGAAATCCCCAATAGTATTTCTTGAAATTGCATGTAAGTAACACTTTAAAACAACATTGGCACTATTTAAAGAGCCGAATGTGTGAATATAAAACCAACTTTACCCATCTCTCCATAGACAGCAAAATTCCAGAAAAAGAACCAAAATCATTATTCCATGTGACATTATTCAGTGATTTACAGTACTCCGCATGTATAAGTACACCCCCCACAAATCTATCTTTTAAATTCATATTTTAATAGGAAGCTATAAAATATTTGTGTATACACATTAGATTAGTCAGTACTGAAGCCAAAACTGGAACTTACGGTCCAAAAACTACTACACCCAAATTTCTATGTTATAGAAAAATATTATACAATTTTAAAAAAGAAGAAAAATCAAGAGAAGCAAAAAAATAAATAAATAAAAAATAATAATAATAAATAGTTGATATTTTGTAGGTAGTAATTTTTTTTATATTTTGCTTGAATCTAATTGTATTAACTTTCAGTTTCTAAATATGTTCAGTAAATAAAATAATATTTTAATAAATATATCTGTTTAATAAATGTTTTGTTTAAATGCACTAAAATCCATTGCCTATATTCATTGAGAAATGGATAAAAAAAAAACTAATTTTCAATATGGGTACTCATTTATGCTGACCACTGTAAATATAGGATGCTCCAACTTTTTTTTGTGCACCAAAAACTAAAAATCGCTTTTTGTGCCTTTGACCTCCTGGTCAAATCAGGTTGTGCATTTACTACAAGCTATATGATGCTTGCGTGTCACACTGCTGACTTTGTTGACTGCACACCATGATATGTTGTAGAAGAAAAGTCAAAGCCAAACAAAATCTTTTTTTTTTTTCTTTTTTTGTCTTTATAGCTTTTTATGATTATGGTTGAACCACTGAAGCCACATGGAACATTTTGACAATGTTTTTAGTTCCTTTTCTAGACTTTAAATGTATCAAAACTGTTGCTGTATATGAAAGATGAGGGAGCTCACAAATTTCATCTAAAATATCTTAATTTGTGTTCTGAAGATGAACGAAGACCTCAGGGGATTGGAATGACATGAGGGTGAGTTATTGATAGCAGAATTTTCATTTTTGGGTGAACTATAAAGCCTTTAAAACTTTTGACTTGTGAAACAGTAACTTTCTGAAAAAAACTCAGTCCCACCTGATCCCAAATTTACCCAGCCTCATGTCATTTCAAATCTCTATGTATTTCAAATCTCCATTCTATTGCATTTCTTATTGTTCCAATAAAAAGCATGAAAGTGCCACGTGATGATGGCAACATAGAGAATGCAATACAGCAAGATTACATTCATGCTACACATACAAGACAATTTACAGTAGCAGTGGTTCCAGTATTTTTTCCCCTCAGGAGTCCCATAGAAGCATTCATTGATTTTATTTCTTATTGACTATTTGTTGTCATGGGTTCACGAGTTAACACTTTCAAGTTATCACTTGTGACGATTTGTTTGGAGGAACTAATGTAGGAAGTAGCGAGACAACGTTTTGTTATATAATGGAAGAAACCTGCAAAAACAGTAAATAAATAAATATGCAAATAAATAAATGAATGAATAAATGAATCCAAAAATTCCTGCATAAATAAAACAATAAATAAATACGCAAATAAATATATCAAATTCACAAATTCCTGCATAAATAAAAGAATAAATGAATGAATACGCAAATAAATATATAAAATTCACAAATTCAACCTGCACTATTAATTAATTATGCATTTATTTATGCATGAATCTCTGGATTTTTATGTATACATAATTAATTATTTGCGTATTTATTTATTTATGCAGGTATTATGCATGTATTTACTCATTTATTTATTTATTTGCGTATTTCTTTAGTGATTTTGTAGGTTTCGTCCTCCAAACTGTTGACCATATTGTATCTAATTGTATCGTCTATGAGGCACAAGTGAAGCAAAAGATATGTAAACTTGCATCGTCATTATTCTAAACAGAACACTGCAGTATTAATCACATTTCAGAAAATTCCTACTGCACCATTTAAAAACTAATAGGGTCCATTGGAGTAAAACAAACTAAAATAAAAATTCTACCATTATTCACTCATCCTATTTGAGTTTCTTTCTTACCTTAATCACAAAAGTTAATAATAAAAAGTTTTTTTTCATATTGTTTCTGCTATAGAGGTAAATGACTGCTTTTCACAACATTATTTAGGATGTCTGATGTGTTCATCAGAAGAAATAAATCTAAGAAGATTTAGAATTACTTGAGTGTGAGTAAACTTTGGGGTAAATTATCCCTTTAATAATATTTTTTTGTCTTTATTTTTCCAGGAAATAAAACCAGTCACCCAAATGAAGTAGCGCTGTAAAAGATTTTTCAGAGCCCGCACTTTTGAAAGTAAAATACTATTTTACATTCAAAATCATTCAGGATTTTTATTCACACAGTGGCTATTGGTTCTTAGTAGGACCAATGCAAACCCAAGGCAAATAAACTGGTGTTGGTAGACAGCCAGAATGAGCTCGTTTAATGTCTGGTCAATTTTCATTTTACACATTAGCTTTTACCGCATGTGCAATGCATGACCATTTGTAACACAATTTTGAAGTTATAAATGGTGCATGGTTATGGATTCTGTACTGGAACAACAATATGCTTTGGACAGAAAGGCTATGAAATAATTAAAAGCACAAACCTAAACAATGCGTTCATTCAAAGCAAAAGATATACAGGCAAGTTTTTTTTATTTTTAATTGAATTTAATAAAATTTTGGAAATTTATAAAAAAAAGTTAACTTTCTTAATTGAATCACTTCAATAGTTTTTTGTTAGAATACTAATTGTTTGAATGTTTTCAGCATATGAATATGAAAATTCACTTTTAGGAAACATTTTAATGTTCAATTTTAAGATTGATTGGTTTGAATATGCATATAATGTGCCTCTTGTACAATGTTGGGTAAAAAATATGTCAAAATGTTATGCCTATTTCAAAACCCACACACATTTAGTTACCTTTTTAAAGTGACTTATGATTGTAATATTGTTTTTTTCTTTTAACACTGCTCTGTTCAAACATACAAAACTGACTTCCCAGTTGCTCAGGTGTCATCAACACCCTCCACATGGATGATAAACACTGAAAGGACCAAAAAGGCACAGAATCCAAGTTGAACCTGTGATGATTTGGGGTGCATGTGGTGGTGTTGGTTCACTTTGTTTTATCAAGCCCAAAGTCAATACAGCGTCTACCTGGTGTTTTTATGTGTTTTTTGTAGATGACAATTTCCTTTCGCAGCAGGAGTTTGCACCTGCCTACACTGCCAAAAGTACCTCTAACTGGTTTGGTGACCATGATATTTTTGTGTCTGATTAACCAGCCAACTTGTCTGACCTAATCCCCACGGAGGATATATGAGGTATTGTCAATATGGAGACAACAAACATCTGACCAAACAATAGAGACAGCACATTTCATACCCAATAGTAAACCAACAGACAGATGCATATATGCCTCGCAACATTACAGCAGTTATTCGTGCAAAATGAGCCTCAATCTAGTACTTAAGTACTAATTGAACTTGCTTTGGATAATTTTTTTTATAATATTTGACAAAGTATTCACCTTTTTCAGGAATACAGTATAATTTATTTTAACTCATATTAACTTATATGATACAACTCGTCTCATATCCTAATAATATATATATATATATATATATATGTATATATATATATATATATATATATATATATATATATATATATATATATATATATATATATATATATATATATATATATATAGTGACCTTAGAATTATAAGGTTCTATCTGACATTTTGTCAAAATTGAGTTATTCACATATTCTTAACAAATGACAAATTTTTTACCTTATGTGATGTTTTATAAGCTGTTCACATTTGAAGACTTTTTATTTAAAAAAAAAAAGGTTTTACCTACAAAGTCGAACTCTCGCTTGGCTTTATAAGGTTCTTTCTGTAAGCCAGTCAGCATTTCAGATGCATGCGTGAGGACCAATCAGAATCAGGTTTCTTTGTCATTTCACCGGACCGGTCCATTGACAGCAGGAAAGACTAGAAAGAAACATAAATCGGAACAAAAATTTACCACATCAAATTGAGAAGAAACCTGAAACTGAAAAGATGTGTGTAAAATGTAATGATTTATCAGCATTTTAGGACATTGAAGTGAAATATTAAATTTTATATTGTTGAAAAATATTTTTTTTTATTAAAAATGTAATATAATGAATGTGAAATATTTTTATTTGTGTATATATAGTCAGTGAAACATTTTTCAGTGTTTATTAAACTCATTTGCTCATTTTCCATTTTCTTCCAAAGTCTTTCAATGTAACATTAAGCCTTGAAGGGCAAATATTTAATTTATTTCATGGGTCATATAATTCAATAAATATAACTCAATAATGCATATAAAGCATAAATTCAACAAATATTAACATATTAATCACATAAAATTAACAGCTGCACTGGATAAAAGATTTAGCACAACCTTGTATGCCTAATTTTCATCCTAAATAATGTATAGAAAGCAAAAATTTTACTTTTTTTTTAATTAAAATTAATAAGCAGTGTTTATTTTAAAGCAATGCTTCAATTAATGATCTGCCAGACGGAACCTTTTAATTCAAAGCAAAAAATTACTTTAGAATTAGACAGTTCTATCTGCATTTGCCCTGTTTTTACCCCAACTTGCAAATGTAAGAGAATTTGATAATTTACATTTAGAGTACATTTAGGGTCTCTGTCATATTAATGTATGAAAGAGAACTGTCACACATATTGTTTGCTATATGGAATGCATAAACTTTAAAGCAGATAGAACCAATTCCAATGTGACGAATATTATATAATTATATATATATATATATATATATATATATATATATATATATATATATATATATATATATATATATATATAATTATATATAAAATTTTATTTTTATTATATTTATCTATAGTAAAAGGGCAACGCAGTGGCGCAGAAGGTAGTCCTGTCGCCTCACAGCAAGAAGGTCGCTGGTTCGAGCGTCGGCTGGGTCAGTTGGCGTTTCTGTGTGAAGTTGGCATGTTCTCTTCGCATTCGTTTGGGTTTCCTCTGGGTGCTCCGGTTTACCCCACAATCCAAAGACATGCGGTACAGGTGAATTGGGTAGGCTAAATTGTCCGTAGTGTATGAGTGTGAATGAGTGTGTATGGATGTTGCCCTGAGATGGGTTGCAGCTGGAGGGCATCTGCTGCGTAAAACATGTGCTGGATAAGTTAGCGGATCATTCCACTGTGGCGACCCAGGATTAATAAAGGGACTAAGCCAAAAAGAAAATGAATGAATTAATAAATATGTTGTAAAATTTCTGTAAATTCAATTTATTAGTTATTTTTACATTTTGACCACATGTAAAAGGCACTCTTTTTTTACATTTTAAAATATATATTTAGAAATATACTTAATCATCATGTGATCATATTTCTCACTTTATTACACACCTTCACGCAAGTTCATGGCAATGGTTTGGGTAAAAATTTAGGAATAAAAAAAATTTATATGAATGCAATATAAAACAATATTAACCATTTTAAAAGCTAGCAAATACAAATACAACATAAAAAATGCTAAAATGCAAAACATTGCTAAGATTGCAACTTTCTCACATTGCTCTCATTCATGTTTCTGTCTGCATCTCCTTAACGGTGTGTAATATTCTGCTTATAGAAATTATTTAAAAATTAATACAGTAAATAGTATATTTTTTGTCCCCACAAAAAAGTATGGACTTTTTATTTTGGTCCATATGATATATATCGTCATATTGCACAGTGCATCTTTGTGACTGTTTGGAAGAGGATGGACCTTGAGGCAGCTGTATTACCATGGCAATGCCCTACATTCCATGCCATGTCACATTCGGGGTGTTTGTTTCCATGTTTGGAGAACTTGTGTGGGCCATTTTTCTATTCATACGAGTTATGAATTCTTTTAGGTATTTTGCTTGTGTCATATTTTATGAATAAAAATGAATTTATGTATTAAAAATAATTGTCAAACACTTAATAAAACTTTGTAGTTCTTTCTTATTTGGCCAGACATAACAGCATGCTAGTCATCCATTATAAATTGTCATTCAGTTTAATTTTTACCAACAACAAAAAGTTGACAAGTACATACAGTTGAACAAGACTTATCTTTAGACATATTATGTTTACAAAAGTTATTTAATAAATGAAGGCACTTTACTTGCATTTATGCTTTGTAGGCCTATATAAAATGTTCATATTTACTTATTTATTTGTTTATTATTATTATTATTATTATCATTTTTTTGTTGATGTGGACAAGTAATGACACATAGCCTACCTTGATTTTATTGGGCATTCATAATTTATAGGCCATAACAACATCTAGCTAAAATGTTTAAATCAGCACATATATATAACGATTTTTAAACAATGATTTTACATTATTCAAATAATGTAGGCTGTCATTCTTTTGATGTAGCCTGTTTTCTGATGTAACTGACAACTATGACTGATTTTAATAACATTAGCAATGCCATTTTAGCATTATGATATTATATTATCATTCAGTTAAACAATAAAATATGTATATTAACATATTGAACGTAGCGTAAATGTTTACTTACCAGTTGACCCCATAGACTGCACAAAACCTTTAAAATTGATGTTTTCGGTGCTCTACTAGCAACCTCTAAACAGACATCATACATTATCGAGTACAGATTCATCGATCCTACTGTCCATGCTTTATTTTCATCATGGAGAAGCCTGCCGGTTCTTTACAGGAGCAAGCATTGAAAAGAAAGGAGAGGTTAAAGGCACTACGAGATCGACAGTTGCAAGTGAGTAAAGTATTAAATGTTGTTTCTGTAAAGACATTGGGGAAACTTGGCGCTGACGGGCTAACTGAAATTAGCTAGCGGGTTAGCAAAACAGTAAACGTAAAGCGTTTTACATTGTTTTATAAGCGATTTGGTGTCGTTTATCACAAAGAATAGTCATTTGGATGCATTTTGCTTTTAGAAAACTTGGTTTCTGACATGTTTGCTTACATAAATACGCCAGGTTACCTCGTTTGCTTGATATTAAGCAAATGTTGTTTTGTTTAATCTGTTTCAGCCATGGCTGAATTACAATAATGTGTAACGTTAACTAAGAAAAGGCTGTATTTAAAAGCCCTCTTTCAGTTCAGTGAGGCATCTGTTTTGTTAGAGCGTAGAACAGTCAAGTAGCCACCAGTTTAGTTTGGTTAAATGTTTTAACCAGAGGAAAAGGGTAAACATAGAGGTAAAGTTGGTTTTATATTCACACATTCGTTCAGTGACACACTCCCCATATTGTTTACCATGGTACTTTGAATGTTCAGTCTGAAATCACATGTAAGTATGACTTCAAAACAACATTAACTCTTTTTAACTGACTCTAAATAGTGTTTTACTTTGATAGACATTGGCTGCTAATATGATTTCACTATTTAAAATTAGCAAACAATACTTTAGTGAAATTATATTATCAAGGAGAAAGTCTGAATGTGTGAATATAAAATTAACTTTACCTCAATAAGATAAACAACGCTATTATAATTCAAAAATCAAAACAAATAATGAATTGAGGATTTGTCTTTTCAGTTTACCGTAACACATAACTAGATTAAGTGCCTGTTTGTCACTTCAAGTTCCACCCTTAATAAATACAGGACAAGTCAATTATTATCATCAGTCTTAATCATTATGCCAAGATATGTTGTTAGAGTTTAACTTTGAATGAATGAAGTTCCTTCTAACCCTGTTTAAATATTAAATGTTTTGCTTTTTTTTTTGGTTGTGATTTATTGTGTATCGCAGTTTTGATGCATTTCCAAGTTTGTTTTCAAGTATTTATATCATTGTTTTTTTTATCTCTTTGATTGTAAGTAGTTATTGTTAAATAATCATAATGCACTCTATTTTTGATAATTTCCAGGGCCATGCACCTGCAGATGGAGAGCCTGAGAGGAAAAGAGCTCTGGAAGACACTGAGACAGAGGACAGACACAGGTAAAAAAAAAAAAAACAGACATCTATACATGGCAACACCACCAAGAACTAAACTAAGATTCTCCAATGTTTTAAAAACAGAAAGGACCTAGTTGAATAGGAGGCCTGTTCAAAATGGACAATAAATAACAAAACTGTGCTCTTGTTTATATGAGCTCAAGAAGCGATGTGAGGTAAAGGTCTCTCTCGTTCACAGCTCTATTTCAGGCTCAATTCAAGGCCTTGAGCTCGCTTCTCTCTCTCTCTCTCTCTCTCTCTCTCTCTCTCTCTCTCTCTCTCTCTCTCTCTCTCTCACTCTCTCTCTTTCCATTGTTTACTTTCAGATCCACAAAACCCTTGTGCTTTCCTCCCTCAGCTCAAGGGGTGTTTGGCATTGACAGTTAGCAAAGGTTTCTAAACAGTCATCACTCAATGTCTGGAAAGCATCTCCCTTAGTACATGATATGATTATTTACTCATTTCATCATTCCAAACCTTTATAGAGTATTTTTCTTCAGTGGATGAATGTTGCCAACTGGTTTCTACTTCAACTTTATGGATCAAAAACTTGTTTGAGTAATGTTGAAGGATAGTAAATGACAGTTTATTTATTTGCTTAATTAATCTATAGGGGTCTATTTTTTACTCAAATCATTTTAGCATTTTTTGTGCTCATTCATGCATTTTCCAGATGTAAGTTGATAAAGAAAGGCATCTTACATCTATCATTTTACATCTACAGAATTGTGAGAAAATCGTGATCTTGATTTTAAGCAAAAAAAAATTGTGATTCACATTTTAGCCAGAATCGCGCAGCCCTACCACAAGCCGTATGGGAGCAGAGACTCGGTAGGTTCAGAGATTAGCGCCAAACAGCCGTGTTTGTAGCCGTGAGAGAAGCATTTACAGTGGATCTTTCAATCCATAATATTGGAGTGATATTACCGTATTGTAAACTTAGTAACAAAATAATTTAGACTAAAGTATGTCTTTAAAAACTGATAGAGTAAATCTGTAGAGACAGGACAATCATCACCAACTAGAACTGTTTCTTTCTTTTTAAAAGAAGACGAGTGGCAAATTGGATTTCCACATTTTCAGATGTGAAAATCTCCCGGGTAAAAAATGTTCCTTACAAACATATTTTTGTTGCATGTTAGCAGACCACTGTCATCCAATTGCTTGGGTCCAAAGGCCAGCTGCACATTCATGGTGTGGAAATGGAAACAAAACCTTAGTTGTGGCACATTTATAAACGCAACACTAACGACCCATGTCTCCAAACAATTCTTCCACTTGTTTTAATTACGGTTGGCAGCACAACATGGCGTCTCTGCCATCTTAACACTGTAACAGGTAAAAGCATTCTTCAAAACTATATCCTGCATATTAATATAGTTGCACCTCATTCACAATAGAGTGCGCTGATTGGTTTGAACCAAGTCTTTCTCATGAATTAATGCTGAAAGATGTCACGTTGTACCCGCCGGTAAAGACATCCAATCTCCACTCTGGAATTTACACAAGGATCTCATGTGCCCGTGGCGCACCTTCAAAATTTCTTTTCAACCCGAAGAACAAATTTGCTTGAAATAACGCAAAACAACCAATTTTCCCTTTTTTTTTTTTTTAATATGTGTGTCCTTGTAGTGTTTTAGGCAACGAGGGAAACAAATGACTCAACTTCTCAAAAAAATGTTTTGGTGTTTCGTGACCCTTCAAGAAAACATAATTAAGTTTAATATTGACTTTATTGAACCACAATAAACCATTATATGAGCCATAATCATTAATAAAAATATATTCTGCTGTTTGCATTTTAGAATGCAAATGCTTCTCATCAATATTGGCGTTTTTTGTGAGTTTCAGACATCTGGCTGGATGTCATTCTTCACCGCAACAAAACCTATATGTCTTTAAATGAAAATGCACTAGTGTAGTGGACCTAAATGCTGTGTAAAACTTTTGATGCATCAGCATACTAATATTTGACAAGTGCACAGAAAAAGTTAATGATGAGTGTTAGTAAGTGTTGTTTTACCCAAATAACAACACTCATCACTAACTTTTTCTGTAGCACTTGTATGTGTAATGACTAAACAACAAAGGAAAAGTTAATATTACTAAAATTGTATATTCATTAATGCTTTTCAAAATCACATACTAGTAACACATTACTGTGCAGATTCCAAATCATACTAACCAAAGTGTTTCAGCTAGATTTGGAAAACGCTGTGCCACTAAAGCGTTCTCAAGCAGCACCAACTGGACACCTTTAGAAGATAGCCTGACATTTGGAAACCACTCTTTGGTTAGATGCAGTTATTGTAAAATTCATGTCCATGTGGGCCATTAGATGTTTCTTGTATTTATGAAATATACTGGAGTCAAACCTTAAAAAAATTTCTGGACCCATTACTTGGATAGTTATAATTTATAGATGGGATTAAACTATTTGTAAAAGAATGTGCTCTTGTACCTTATTTATGAATGATTGAAATACATGGTTAACAAAAAAATCTGATATTTACAAAAAGTTTTGTGAATTCACAGGAGAGGAATGTCTGTGGTTTGCATTTCTGATGTTTTTAAATGTTTCATGAATGAGGCTCTTAATCTGTAATTGTATAGGTCTGCAATTTAGTTAGAGTGAAGGTTTTTGAAATTAAGGTGGTCTGGGAGAGAATGGCTTGAGGCGTGTCTCTTTAAACATGCATTATTAAAATGGTAACACATCTTGAAAACAATGAGATGTAATTTTTAACCTCGCTCACTTGTTATTTTCATGCTTCCTTTGCTGCCATACCTGACATAAATGTCTAGTCTTTAGAAAAAAAAAACAAAGACATTCTTTTGTAATAAACATGAAAAATTATTTAGTGGTGATTGAGGACGTTCTTTTATGTTAACTTTTTAATGTTAGAAAATGGCAACTTATATTTATAAAGGACATATGAATTGATAAAGGTTGCAATAAATATTAATGGGTGATAGTAAATATTTTAAAATAATCCTGTTCTTTTGAACTTTCTATGAGTCATCACATTTTATAAGAAAGTTTCAGTTTCTATAAAAATTATTATGCAGCTGTTAACATGCACTATATGCATGTTAGAATGAGCTCTGACGGATAATATTTTGTATGCTGGCTGGTTTTACTTCTAAATAAATAAATGTATAATCCACAGTTTTTTTACTCTCAGTTTTTGGCAAAGTGCATCCAGAGTTTTCTTTTTCAACCCACAATGTTTATTTTTTGCATGTCTAAAAAAGTTATTTAATGCATCTTTTTGTGATATAATCCTATTTCTAGACAAAATAAAAAGAAGCTTGTTTGTTTGTATTTTGGGGCCTTAGAAAATATCTGCTTGTCGGGCAACAGCTTTGCCTTTTTGTTTAAGCTGTCAAAATTGTGAAGCAAGGTGAGGCATATAATGAATATTTTTTCAGCTTCTGAATGAAGCTCAACCTTTCACCTGAGCTTGACTGTTTTGTCACAACTTAAGCAGTTGGACAAATGTCAAACCAGGTTTTTACTGGTGCTAAATGAGGCGGAGGCGGTATCCTGATGATGAAATTTTGCAGATTTATTTTAAAAAAGGCTAACAATAATTGTGATTAAATTGACCAGTGCTTGAACATCTGACGAAAGTGGTAAATGATATTTAGGAATCACTCTGCTCTCTCCAGCTTCTCCTGAAGGAAAGAAAGCACAACGCTGATCTGGCAAGTTCGGAGGTCTTCTCTGCGAGAGACGCACCACTTAGTTTATAAACTCCACTCCAGGGCGTAGGCGCACCTCGTTGAGGGGGCTCTAGCTGGAGTGATTGTATTAACCACTGCCGTCGGTAGGTTACCTAAGTCTTCTTCGCGTCTAAGGACCACTTGCAGAGGTTCCAAAGATTTGGGTGAGGTTACCAGATGGTGCCCTGTCCCTGAGAGAGTAGGTCCTCTCTTAAAGGGATCTGCCAGGGGAAGGCCGTCGCGAGGAAGGGAGAGTTCTGATATCCAAAACCAGTTGGGCCAGAGAGGCACAACCAGCAAGACCTGTTCCTCGTCCACACAGTCTTTAGTAAGTAACTAAGGACAGGGCAATAACTGCGCGAGCACTCACAGCGGAAAACGCATATTTGCGCATGCCCCGAGTAGAGCGAGCTGATACATGCGTCAAAAGCGCATACCCCCCATACAGTTGATATACGGCAATGCTGATGTGCTGTCCATCCTGACTAGTACGTGTTGTCCCTCCAGCACCGCAAGGAACACTGCCAACAGCTCTAGGCGTATGATATCCCAATGCAACTGGATTCCTCTTCACAGGCCCGCCGCTGCATCCCCACAACACACGGCCCCCCAGCCCGTGCTGGAAGCATATATCAAAATGACAGTATGTGTGGACGCCTGTCCTAGAGGCACTCCAGCCTGTAGGAATGAGGGGTCCTTCCGTGGGCTGAGAGCGCAGTGACAGTCACCCGGTGTGTGCCCAAGTGCCATGCACGTCTGGGAAGTCGATCGTGAAGCCAGTACTGAATTGGTCTCTTATGGAGTAATCTGATTGGCGTGACAGCAGCTGCGGATGTCACATGCCCCAGGAGCCTCTGAAAAGATTTCAGTGGGACCAATATTTTGCTGTTGAACTCTCTCAGACAGTTCAGCATTAGCTGAGTGCGCTCTCCGTAGAGGCACGCTGTCATGGTGACCAAGTCCAGCTCCAACCCGAGAAAAAGACATCCTCTGCACGGGGGCGAGTTTTCTCTTTTTTTATGTTGACCTGAAACCCCTATTGGTCGAGGTACTGGAGCACCTTGTCCCTGTGCATAATCAATTGCTCCTGCGAGTGAGCTGAAATCAGCAGGTCATCAAGATAATTGATGTAAGAATCAGCTCTTTGGTTTAAATCATGTTTAAACTTTGGGGATTCGAATTAAAGATTTGAACATGATTCACATTGAATTATTTAAAGCTTACACTTAACTTAAGTATTTGTCCAGCAAATAGAATGTTTAGTGTAAAGCAATTCT